TTTTTTGGTACCCAGAATCAAACTCGGGACCTTGTGCTTGCCAGGCAGGCACTTGTGCCACTGAGCTATATCCCTGGCCCTAAGTTATATTTTTATGGTACTTTATCACTTATTCAAAATATTTTATCTGGAAATATTTTGTCCAGGACAAAACTATTAGCATGCAATGAGGACAGGATATGGCCCATATCTTTCTTCTACTGTGCCAGGATGTATTTTCACAAGTAAGCTCCTCCAGAAGGAATCCTAACGTCCCTTTGTTCCCTCAAAAGGCATGCTTTGTGTGTGAACCTGTGCCAGTCTCGTGCAGATTCTGATGTCATCCCTAAGAAATGAAAATGGCCATGCATTTTCTTCTTTTGGGATGATTTATTAAAAGACGTACATTAAAAAATTTGGTCTTGCCAGATGTGGTGATGCATGCCTGTGATCCCAGCACTTGGGATGCTGAGGCAGGAGGATCACCATGAGTTCAAGGGCAGCTTGGGCTACATAACGAGTTCACAGCCAGCCTAAATCACATACAAAGACTGTCTCAAAAAAAACTTTTTTGGTCATTTTGCTGAAGCAATGTCGCTTTACAAGGTCACCAAAGAGCTGGATTATGAAGACCCTGAGGTGGTTGCAGAGGACCATACCTATGAAATGAGGATTGCAGTATTTGATGACATGCAGCCCTCCCATACAGGTAATCTCGACAGACTACTGAAGGAATCCTAGGAGCCTATTCTTTACACTGTTCACCTTGGGGTTTAAAACATAAATACCCATCACATTTGGGACATTTTGTTGAGTTGGGCAAAAGGCGAAGGGGAGAATTAGGTGGGCTTATGCTGGAAATTTTCGTTAGATCTGGGAAGCTCTTTTCACATTTTAGCGGCACGGAAACAATCCACAGTTCTTACACACAGCTCTTGAGAGAGGTCTTTGAAGTTAAAAATGGGTAGTGGATATACAGACCCAAACCATATGCTTAATACTTTCCTTTTAATAAAGCTAAATGCCTGTCATTGGATGCTTTAAAATGTTATTTGAATCATTTTGTACTATGTAGAGATGGCTTGCCTGGTTCTGTAGCTCGTACCCATTCTCAAGGTACAGAGCACGGTCCTCTCCCTCCCACGGGGTCTTCTCAGAGCGTCCCACCATTGTGGGTCAGCCTATGGTAGAAAGGGCTTTGGTGTAGGGAGAGTAAGTCCACCAAGACTGAGTGATCATAAAGCCCTTGGCAATTGTAGATTTAACAGTCGTAGTTCTGCTAATTGCAAAGCACTCTTCATCATCAGTACGTATTTTATTCATGTGCCATGGATCCAGGGCACAGAACTGAGGACGTGAGTGGCTTAGCCAGCCTCCCAATGCCTTTCTTTGCTTATTGTTACACACATCAGAACACATACTAGGTACCCGATGGGGTCATATTCAACTACATGTTATAATTCTAAGGGTGACCTTGTTGGTTATAGAGATTTTTTTTGTGAAATATAGAGAGTGTCAAAACTCAGATTTCATGGTTCATGTCAAGCATGTCCAGTACTTGGAATGTGTGGTGCCTCTAAAGGACAGGTGACCCAGCAGATGGCTGGCATCAGTGATCCTGGAAGGTGTGGGTATTGGGTGGTAAACATAGGGCTAGCAAAAGGCTTGGTAAGGAGAGACTAGAATATGGGTGGAGTTTGGGTCTCCTGGGAGGACTCTGCGTCGTTGGTGGTAGGTGCTTGTGTTGTTGTGTTACAGGGTTCTGAAGTTGGATCTGGGAGTGGTGGGCTACAGTGCTTTATCTTCCATGGGTACAGAAAGGTGGAACGGCGGCACCTGTTGATAGGTCTGCAACCAAAGGAGCTTAATGCTGAACTTTAATTAACGTGCCTAAATCTCTTTAAATCTCTCTTGGCATAAGAGTTTTAATGGGGCGAGGCTTAAACTGGTGACTTGCAGAGTCAGATGGCCTGACTCCGGGGAGCAGTGATGTGTAGGGAGCAGGAACCCAAGCACAGCAGTTGCAAGTGTTCCGCTGTGTGTTCTCTGTTCATGCAAAGCCCTTACATAGTCCTCCTGACCTTTGAGGCTGGATGCTTCTTCTTGTGGCCACTTACTCTGATGATCTAACTAATCAAAAGAGAATTTTCCCCTTTCACTAAATTTGAGACTTTGCCCACCTGGAGAGGGAAAGAAATCTCTCACAGTAGTAAATTGACATCCTCTCTGGTCCTCACGCGGTCCTTACACTCACAGCAACTGCTCATAAAAGGTGCTTGTAGTACTGCATATGTGGTGTAGTCTATTTTTATAGGCCAGCTAATTAGCACAATTTTGGGTCATTATGGATACAATAAAGATCAAAGTATGGCAGAGCTGTAAATGGTACCAGCTTTTGAATCATGTAAATGGGGTTTATTGAAGGAGCGATACAGCCTTTAATTAAATCACCTGACATGTGGAACCGCACTCTAAACTTCTTTTGGGCTTGTGGGCACCTTTGAGACTCAGATGAAAGATGTAGACACTGTCCTTTGAAAAATGCAGATAACAACACATGTCAAAATGTAAAGAAAGCCACAGATTCCCTGAAGTAAAGTTCTGCAGATATCAGGTTAAATTTTCTAGTTTGACATCTGTGGCATAGATATTTTAGGATGAGCAATACATAGCATTCTTCAGAACATGAGTTCTACAAGATAACTTACAAAAGGGGATTCCCGTGATCAAATAAACTTGGGGAGTGATAGATACCCACAGATTCAAAATATGTAACAACCTGTTAGATACTCTAAGAAGCCTTGCCATAAAAGACCTTTTCAATCTTTATTTAATTTGGCATTTTGTACTTGACACACTCCTATCCTAGAGAAGATATTTTGGGAGATATTCCCTGGTACAGCTTGGTCCAATAACCACTTTGTGACCTTTGACCACAAACAATTCCATAAACTTTACTCTCTCCTGTGAAACTGAGACAATAATATCAATGTCAAGCCAATGTCTTGCACAGTAAATATTAATTATTATTTCAATTTTATTAGAAATGTTCCATGTTTGCAATTTGTTTGTCATATGTTTGAATATTAAACTCTTACTTTTTTTCACAGCTCTTCAATATGCTACTGTAGCTTTTGTCAGAAAATGTAGACTTCCTTCTCTATAATGTAATGTACAAAAATCTGGCTGACATGAACCAAATGTAATAACTACTTTTAAATTAACTTTTTATAGTTTATAAATCTCCTTTGGGCATAGTCTCATTTTGACCTCACATGCATATGGTAATGGAGGAGGTTGAAATTGACGTTTTTCCTTTTTGATGACATAACGGGGCTTCTGAGAAGCTGAACTGGTTAAAGACTACAGAGCATGTGTTAAAGCCAAGCACTGGATGTGATCAAGTGGTTTTCTTGGTCTTTTTCCACATAACCTCTAGGTAATACGTTGAAAGCAGAATATAGACTGTTAGGTGCTAGGGTGAGAGTGACACCCCAACAAACTGGAATGGAGGAGTTTGTACCTGTGAAGCTACAATAAACTCTATTGTGTAAAATGTATAAATATGCATTTATATATAATATATATGATATATGAATATCTCTTATAGGAGATGTAGTATATTATATATTTTTGACTAAGTTGCTTTAGCTAGCACTAGAACTTGGGTTCTTGCAGACAGAGTCTGGGAACAGGAATCATTTGGGGACAGAAAATCCCATTGTTTCAAAATCCTCTGCTAAAGTAAAAAGTAAATCCACAAATTGGGAAAAAATTTTAGCCAACTGGCCCTTGGACAAAAGACTTCTATCTAGAACATATAAAGAATTTTTAAAAAGTCAGGCCCCCCAAATTTAAAGGCCCAGTCCAAAAATAGGCATCTGAGATGAATACACACTTCTCTAATGAAGAGATAGTAATGGTGAATAAATACATGAAAAAATGTTCAACATCATTAGTCATTCGAGAGATGCAAATTAAAACAACACTGAGATTCCATCTCACCCCAGAAAGAATGGCTGTCATCAAGAAGTCAACCCATACCAAATACTGGAGCGGTTGTGGGGAAAAAGGAACCCTTCTCCACAGTTGGTGGGAGTGTAGACTGGTGAAACCACTGTGGAAATCAAAATGGAGATTCCTCAGTAAACTAGGATTAGAGGTCCCATTCAACCCAGCTATTCCCCTGCTGGGTATTTTCCCAGAAAAACTGAAAACATCATATCATAGCAATATATATGCACCCATGTTTATAGCAGCACTGTTTGTAGTAGCTAAATTGTGGAAGCAATCCAAATGCCTATCATCTGAGGAATGGATAAAAACGTTATGGTATTTTTATATAATGGAATGTTACTCAGCTATAAAGAAAGATAAACTTGAGGCCTTTATAGGTAAATGGTCACAACTAGAGATCATACTCATAAGTGAAATAGATCAGATCTGCATGTGTAAACATTGTATGGTCTCACTAGTGTGAGAACCTGAAAGAGTGAGTAAAATCTGAAAGGTACAGTATATATTGGGAAAGGGAAAGAAATTGCTCAAAGGAAGGAACAACTGGGATGAGGGACAAGACAGAAGAAAGAGAGAAGGGAAAAATATCTATATAGATATACACAGGATAGTTAAGATAGTTGTAGTACCGCTTTCTATTACTTTATTGAAAGGAACAGTTAATGTTTAATTCTTTGATCAGTCTTACATGCCTATGTTTGTTTATCTGACTAAGCACTTGGAAGATATCAATATGTAATACAACCACCATTGTTAATTTTCTATCACCTTGTCTGAAAATATGTATTGCTTATATTGTTTTTATGTTATTTTATAAATGTCTGTGTGTCTGCTAATATGTTTTCATTCTTTTATCTTTAAAATAAGAAAAATCCTTTGCTAATTCTGTACTGTGGGGGCCAGTTAACTTGCAGAATACAACAAAAACCACAAAGCACTTATTCACTGTTCATTTTTCCAGTTACTGTCACAATCATTGTGGAGCTTGCTCCTGCCAATGACTTCAGCCCTGTGTTTGAAGCTGCACACTATTCATTCTCGGTTCCGGAGACATCACAAGGTGAGGTCCCTCTTGCTTCTGTGACAGGAAAGCACCCCCGAGGAAACACCTATGTAAATGAGGGAGCAACAGGAAAATAACAGGGAAACTTACAAAATCCAAGCAGGCAAGGGAGCATCCACACCGGCCGAGAACAAGGTGGTTTTCATTGGTAATGCCCTCAGAGGGTTATGCTGGTGTTTCTCAAAAGCTCCCTTGAAATTTCATGTAGGTCTAGGATTTTTGTAATGCAAAATTACTCAATATTAACTTTTTTTGTTTATCTTCCCCTTTGGCTTTGAAGTAGGTTCAAGGGTAAAGAAGTGAGGACAATGTGGTCATTATCCACACAACTTAAATCTTTCAAATATCAAGGAAATCAAAATTTTAGATCAGAAGTCAACATAATGGACAGGGGTCTCTTGTAGTCAGGAATTAGATATGAATTAGATCAGATTTGTTAGTATAGGCAAAGGAACATTAGATTTAAAAGGGGCACAAAATGTATATAAGCAAAAAAATAGAAGGGGCCGCAGAGGTCATGTGTACTGTTTTCTGTCATCCAAGAGAGGCACGTGTTCCTTCCTTAGCATCTCTGGATGGTGAATCCTGTAGGCTGGACTTTAGAATTTCAAGAACTGGGACCAGTTTTGTGTTGGAGTCAAGGCACGCTGGCTTGCAAGAGCGTTGCATTGGTGCTAAAAGGCTAGGAGTGCTGGAGTCAAATAGGACCGGGCTCAAACCTGTCCACGCTACTGTGAGTTGAGTGACATTAGCCAAGCCACATAACCTGCCTGCATGTACCTTTGAGTTCTCATCTGTGTAATGAAGATTCCAGTAACTATAAGTACACGACACGTGCTAACATAGTCACGACATCATCACCAATAATAATAATAACCGCACACACTTACTGACTGCCTGCACTGTACAGTGTACTAGCACCTTTGTCTTGTGTTTTTTTTAAAGCACTCCTTGACATTCCCCACCAGAACGTGTAAACCGAATGAAATTAGAGGAATGCTTTTTTTGGAGATATTTATTAGAGGAGAAAAAAGCTTTCAAGTCACTGGAAATTTGCTCTAAGAAGGAAATGGGAAGGTTAGAACTGCTCTGAAAATGAAGTCTCCTCAAAATATCAAACATTTAGCCTATAGACTTTCAGGACATTTAAAAAAATCTGTTAATGTGAAAATCTTTTTTTCATGCTAAGCTGATTACCACAGAGCCTCTGAGAGTGTGGTGAGAATTACATGGAGGTTTTCCGCTAACAAAATAAAGGGGTTCTACAATATTTAAAGTAAAGTGTTTTTTTTCTTTCTGATGTGTGATGAGCTGACAAAGAGTTTCTGGGGGGAGAGGAGGCATAGGCAGGAATGTTTCTTCATCAGTAGTGACTTAGAAGAACACACGCGAAAATTAAATCACAGTGGGTTGCAGGTCGCAGAGGAAAACTCATTTCATTTCATATAGTTTCGGATGAGGAAGTTTGGCAGAGTCACATAATTGCTCTGTTTTAAAATTCGGCTAAAAATGCTCAAGAGAGCATTCAAGTTTATTGAAAACCTGCAGAAGAACACACTTAAAGGTTTGCTGAGCTGATGTTAAATGTGAAGGTGATGTCCCCCCCTTACCCAAGGCTGTGTGACAGAGAGGGCGACCTTTACCGACAGCCTCCTGTCTGCGGTTTTGCCTCCGCTGCAGCGTGCTTTTCTTAGTAACGATACTTCCACGGTGACGTGGTGAACGATATGCTCCGGAGTTGCCGTACGTGGCGTGCTCTCTTTTGTGAATGTGCTTTCTCTGCTCCCGGTGGCATGAGTCATATTTGGTGCCTGCGTGGTCACATATTACCAGAGGCTGGAGAGGATGCCAACAGAGAAAGAAATTCTCTGAGGTCGAGGGCGTGGGAGCGGCACATGAAATGCTTTCTTCATAATTCTGTATTCCTGATTATTAGCAAACAAAATGTCCCACATGTGCGTTGGCTAGCTAGCAAGCCACTGCATGGTGGCAGTTCACTGCACGAAGAGGTAAACATCTTGTGTTGGAGTTTATAATTTATAAAGCAGAAAGTGATTGAGGGTAACCAAGCATCTGTAATATATAACCATAGGATGCTGTATATCTCACAAGTTAGAATTGTGCAGAAATAACCACTCATGCAGTCCATGAAGCTGAGAACTAGCTGGGCTGTCCCTCTGATCTTGGGTAGGTGTGCCCAATTTTTAGTTAATCTGTCTTGTCTTGGGCTGAGGGACTGGGAGTCTTGGCCCAGCCCTCTTCCTCCAGCAAGCTAGCGTGGACCAGGGGAGAGAGTGTAAAGATTTTGGGTCTGCTGGTGCAACCAGTGCACTACATTTATCTTTCTTCTAAGGGGTTGTTTGGGGCTGCTGCACACTATAATTATAGTGAGGAGACTTAAAAGTATGGACTGTAGGCCTCAACAAAGAAGGAAATCGTGTTACCTGCAGGAAAATGTTAAGTGAAATAAAGCATTTCAGGAAGCTATATAGACCATGCTTTCTCTCTCTCTCTTTTTTTTTTTTTTTTTCTCGGTACCAGGAATCAAACTCAGGACCTTGCACTTGCCAGGCAGGAGCTGTGCCGCTGAGCTAAATCCCCAGCCCGACCATGCTTTCTCTTATATGAGAAACCAAATAAATGAAGGTGTGAATGAATGAATGAATGCATACGTGAGCAATTACAGGAAAATAGGAGGTGGACTTTTGGAGATGGGGAAGGGGATGAAGGGGAGGGGAGGGGGCAATACAACAGAAGAAGATCAAGATACATTAAGTGCATACACAGATTTACCAAAATGAACATTGCCATGCTGTATTACACACGTGCATTTAAAAAAAGGTCAGGGCCCCCTGCTGTAATCTCTAAGAATAGTATTACAATTATAGAATGCAAAAAGAAATCCCTACTAAATGTAAAATGGTACAGTGGAAATAATTCACGAAGGATAAAAGAAGTGAGAAATAAAGTACAAGAAATGATACCTAGAGGATATGGAAAAAGCTAGACACAAATTCATATCAATGATTATATTAGACGTAAATGGATTTATTCACTAATGAAAAGAAACACACTGAAAATGAAAAATAAAAGAAATGTGGTCAGCAGACACGAAATTTTGAATCCTTGTTCTTTCTCTATTAGCTCCGTGACCTTATTTCTTGATGCCATAGGGCCTTGCTTCCCTATTTGTAAAATGGAGTCATTAATAGAACATACACCATAAGAGTGTGGAGACTATTCGGTAGGAGAAAGCATGTAATAATAACAAATTCTGATTTAGCATTTGCCATGTACGAGGCACTATTCTCGGTGATTTCCATATTTTAGCTTGCTCACTTTGCATGACAGTCCGTATGGCGAATACTATTATTGTTCCCAGTCTGCAGATGCAGAATGTGAAGTCCAGAGAGGTTACAGAATGGTCTCCTGAGTTACATTGGCAAATGACGGGGCTGAGTTTGGGGACCCAGGCACCCTGATTTCAGAGAGTATACTGTGAACCTTATCTGATGCTAACATTAGCACAATGCTAAGATTAAGCTGAGTCTTATTATTACAAAGTTATTTTAAACATATCAACTCTTGTACCATGGTTCCAAGTGACAGAGAACTCTCAAGCTCTCCCCTGTACAGTGGGAGTCTTTAAAGATATTCCATGTCCACCAGGCTTCAAGTTATCCCTTTGAGAAATTGACACTACTTGGAAAACAAATGCATGCTCCACTTCTTAGCTGCGTGAGAAGAGTGAACCTTATAAAATTTTCCTGGCAGCTCTCTACAAAGTTGGAAGAGTGACCGCCACTGATGAAGACCACCCACCAAACTGTCTGACCTACAAGATCGCCAGCGGAGACATCCAGGCTGTGCAAAGATTCTGGATTCACCCTCGCTCTGGAGTGCTCGAACTCACCACGCAGCCAGACTACGAGTCTGTGAGGCAGTACAACCTCACTGTGGAAGCTGTGGACTGTGACAGGGCCCACCCTCGCACAGCAGTGACCACTGTGAGTGAGAGACCCGGGCTTCGATAAAATAGAGTTCGGCTATGCACTTCTCACTTATTACAGTAGGAAAGGCCAAGCGATAACAGAGAACGGAGCTGTGCATGATTTTCTCTATCTCCCAAGCGTTCTATGTTTAGTTACTCTTCACTTTAAACATTCAAGGTAGGCAATGTTTTAATCATTTCTGTCCTACCGATGAGGAGCCTGAGGCACAGAGTTTAAGTAATGTATTTATAAGGTTATAGAACTGGACTCAAACGCAGGCCGCCTTGTGTTGGGATGTGATGCTCACAATGAAAATAGTTTGGCATTGAAAGGAGGGAAAGTGTGGTTACCTTTGAATTATTCCAGAGAGGTCAAATGACTCTAGAAAAACTCCAAGAGTGAATTCTGGGGTATGGTTATGAGGGATGTGCTGTTAATGGCTGTTGTAGTCAGTGTTTACAAGGAAAACAACACAGGAACATAATTTATAGGATTATTTTATAGTAGTCACTCAAAGGGTGAAGTACAAGAGTTGAGGAAATCTGTCCACACACTAAAGACCTAAAGAATACAGCTGAGGGCCTGGATCTCACGGCAATGTTGTGTGTGAGTCCAGCTGAAGACCTAGACCTCATAACAATGCCCCCACAAGTCCGACTGGAGGCCGAGAACCCACGACAATGTCTTATGCAGGCCTGTTTCATGGATCTGCATTGGGACAACCCCAAGGTAGGAGTGAAGGATTACAAGCGCCCCATCTGGCCGAATGGGTCACTGTACATTTTCTCCTACTATATGGAGCCCCCTGACTTCCTCATTCTGTGTTTATTAAGTTTTCTGCATATGGCAGTGTGAGGAAAACATCAGACCCAGTCACGACAGCAATTAGGATGACTTTTACAGGACTGAGATACAGTCACGAGGCTGTGATCATGTGTCTTGGGTGATACCTGTGAGAGTAATCTTTATGCCACAGTACCTGTGGCAGTTTTTCCTGTAGACATTTATGAACTCCCAAAGTAGTATAGGATTATGCCACTTGCAGTGTTATTCACTTATTACAAATGAGAAGAAAGGAAAGAAAAATTAATGAAACCACAAAAAATTCAAGCAACTCTGTGCCTATAAAAAGAATTTATGTTCTGCCTAAAGATAAAGCGGGACCTTGTTCATTCTTTCTCTCTTTTAATGAGTATTTATGGAGTGTTTGAGTATAACATTTTGGTTTACAAAGCAGTGGAAGACACTGCATATGCCTTCAGGGACCTTAAAATTTTTATCACATGCAAAGTTTAATAATATATGCTGCCTGCCAAGTTGATGATGCAGAGGAGTTCAATGACCAAGTTCAGAAAGGGGAGCTGGGTCTTTAGTCTCCACAGCAGAAGGACCCACCACTGTCACCAGCAGCAGCAGCAGCAGCAGCAGCATCCACTTTGTAGGAGCACGTACTGACGGCCCGGCACTGTGCTGTGACCCTGATTACTTCATTTTATCCTCAATCCCATTCCAAAAGCAGTTTCTGAAACTCTTTTTAACACATGGGTTTAGAAGTTAAGTACCATAATTTATCCAAGGTTATTTTGCTCAAAGAGGTTGGATTAAGTCTACACACTTGCTCACTGTCCAGCACCCACATTCTCTCTCCCACCCTGCAGCATATTCTGTCATCTCTGCTTTAGGAAACACATCCCAAGTCATTCCACTCCTCACCCATCAACTCCTAAGACTCTGGTTGGGCTGCCACCATCGCTCGCCGGGTGTAGGGCAGCAGACTTGTAACTAGACTTCTCGTCCCGATTGGTGCTCCCTGAGGTCTATTGTTTGCACAGGGTCTGGAGTGACCCCTTAGAGAGACACATCCAGTCTCCTCAAACCTCTGCCTCAGCTTCCATCACACTTAGCGAGGCCCTAAGGTCATTCCCAAGGTCCATGGTGCCTGCATGTCCTGGGTGCTGGCTACCTCTTCATCTTTCTGACTTCAATCCAGCCACACAAGCTTCTCCCTGTTTCTCTCACCGCCAGCCCTGTAGTGCTTATCCATGGCTCACACAATCATTTTAGTAATACCCCTGCCCCAGAGGAACCTGTTGACTAGAGCCCTCGCACTTGAAGTCTCAAGCAATCCATTTGGTCATCAATAGGGGAACAGGTAAGTAAAACACAATACATATATACTAGGGAGTGCTAGGAATCAAGAAGCAATAGCAAGCTGGGGGTAGTGGCGCACATATGCAATCCCCACTATTTAGGAGGCTGAGGCAGGAGGCTCACAGGTTTGTGTTCAGCCTGGGCAACTTAGTGGGACCTTGTCTCAAAAAAAAAAAAAAAAAGAGGGGAGGGGAGTGGTATTGGGAGTGTAGCTTAGTAGTAGACTGAGGGGCTTGCCTACCATGAGCAAGACCGAGGGACTGGTCCCCAGGCCTACAAAACAGACAAATAAGCAAAGAGCAAACAAATTTTACAAACACGGAGCACACATAGAGGACACTGTGTGAGAAAAGTTGGAAGCAGGAAAGACCTATGGTGCAATATCATTTATTCAAATCAAAATTATACCACCCAATTATGCAAGAATACATAATTGCTTAAGGGTATTTATCAAATAGGGCGGGCAGAGAGGCAAAATAGCTCTTATTAGCCTGTCTCTGTGCCCTTAACTGCACAGTGCCAGCTAGCACGCGAGGCTGCCTCGTGTACTTACGTGTCCATGTTTATTGCACAGGTTGTAATGGGTTGGGGACTTTTTCCACATCAGGAGTATAGCATCTGTGTCTCTGTCAGTGTTTAGCACATAATAAATGTTCAGTAAATACCTAATGAATAGATGAATGAATCCTGCCAACAAGTCCTAAGAAGGTAGGGATTAAGGGATTCAGATATGTGTACAGCTGCATAAAGAAAGGTTAAGTCACTTGTTCCAAACATAGGAGCTGAGGGCTGGAAGACCCAGCCTTGAATGAAGATTTCTGTCCTAGCACAGAGCTGTTTCACTATATCACAGAAATCACCCTGCAATCTATCTACTTATCATATACAAATGCCTCACATGTCAAATGAACACAGAGCTGTATTCAGTCTATTAAAGTAGCATTCGAGATGGAAGGATTCCCAAGAATTTAGCTGTGTTGTTAAAACATTACAGAAGACACTCCAAAAAAGATAATACCTGCAAATGCAGCACACCAGGGAGCCCTCTGGGACTGCTGCAGAGAGAGCTCTTCGCCATCTGCGAGGTGGCCCCTGACCTCTGTGGGCTGACTGGAGTTCAGCCATTGACATTTTTAAATCTGTGATGTTTTGATGCTTTTCTGCGTGACCAGTTTCCTGGCTTGTAGTATTGTAATTAAGAAAACGGTGATAACAGCTCCTAGTTAAGATTGGGTCATACTTTCAAGTAATTGTACCGTTACCCACACATATAATCAGTGCTCGAGAGATTGGCGAAGAGGAGGCCCTGGAATAAGAGAGAGGACGCACGTTCAGGATGTGCTTGCACTCAGTGTAAATATTTAAAGTGTTCAAGGCATTCGTTGTTAGAGGCCCCGGTCTTCAGCTTTCCTTCTGTTATATTTACATAACTTGTGGGTTTTCCAGGGGCTCATCAATGAGCCCAAAGATCTCCCTAACAGCTATCCTGAACGTCACAGTGGGCCCGAAATAATGAGCACGGCCTCGCTGACTTACAGCCGGGATCCGAGTCTGCAGGGGCAGCTCAGCACACTGAGAACTGTAGGTTTCTAATTTAGTGATTCTCAGGGGTCTGTGTCGACCCAGATGCCTCCTACTGATGCTGCGTGTAAATAGTCAGAGGCTGCGGACGTGATGCAGCTCTTTCCTCTCTGCTGACAGGTCACGGTTGACATTGAGGATGAGAACGACGAAGCGCCTGTCTGCCTGCCCTATCGTTATAAAGGAGTCATTTCTGACAATGTTGTTGCCGGAACAAACGTCAATGGCTTCCAACTAAGCTGTCACGACAGAGATTCACAGGATTTCGAAATGCGCTTTGAGATAGCTTCTGGTGGATGACTTTATTTCTTTTAATCAAAGCTTGTGTCAATTCAACGCTAGTTGTTGCATGTTAGGCGTGATATATAGCCCTAGAAATGACTGTGTTTATGAAGGTAAAACTATCTATAGAATGGAGTTTCCTCAGGCAAGGCGTCTTTTCATGTCTACATATCCAATTTAATTCTATAATGGAAGTGTCTGTGACTGCACAGATATTTTCACCACAAGATTTTGGATTTGCATAAGAAATATATACTAAAGGTTGCACTGAAACTCACTGGGTCTGCTGTCCAGGGTGTTGGTCCAAAATAGTAACCATCCTTTTGTCTGATTATCCTAATAGAAGCTCACTAGGGTAGGTGTTTTTGACTCTGCTATTGTTGGATTTACATAGATTTATGTTGCTTTCCTGTCCTCTCGGAAGGCGTTTATTGGAGACCAAGTGTGCGCAGGCGCTGCTAGGAAGGGGTACAGAAGCACCCAGTGCAGACACGGATTTGGACTTGTGGCACTCACTGATTGTTAAACTAGTAATAACATTAGTGATTAAACAATGATCAACTGTGATAAGCTAAAGAAGCTACCAGGTCTGATGAGACAGCATTAAAAGGAGACCTATTTAAAGTGCGAAAGTCAGATCTATCTGAAAGAATGGAGCCTGGAAATCAGTAGACATTGCTAATTACCTATGAGGACTAGTTTGGTGCTGAGAAGCTCCATGAAGAAAGGTACCATGAACATTTTATTAGCAATGATGTGCTGTCTTGGTTACTTTTTTTCTCGCTGCTGGGACAAAATACCTGACGCCCAAATTTAAGGAAGGAAAGGTTTATTTCGCTTACAGTTCGTGAAAGTTTCAGTCCATACTTGGCAGATTATAAGGCAGAGTGGCACATGGCAAAGAGCTACAGCTCAGGGCGGCAGAACACAGCTAAGCAGCAACCACACACCAGGGAGGAATGGGGGAGGAACGTCCTCAAGCACTCTTTTCCTCTCCCTTACATATGCAAACTATCCACTCCCGGGCAGGTGCAGCTCTCACATCCATATTCAAACTCTAATAGCCTGCCCCATGGCCGTAGGAGGCTTTGGGGGGACACACAGACATAAACCATAACATGTGCGCATGGCTGAGGAGGATGTGAACTCGGGAAGGGCTTCGTGGGCTCTGGTAGTCTATCTCATTTGGTACTGATAGAGACCAAGTTGAAGGCGAGAGTCACACTGCTCCGAGAAGATACACAGGGGGAAGCAATTAGGCAAATAATTAGATAATAGTGTGAGCTCTTCCGGCCACATATGGGAATCCAACTCATTATCTTAACCTTTAAAACATTTCTTTCTAACCACTTATATTTATTGCTTAGTTTACCTCAATTTAATTATAAGCCATGTATAGATATGGGAGTTTAGAGAATAAGAGCCATCTTACTTATTTATACAGACTGTGTTATAATAGCAGCATAAAATAGTTTGAGGACACCATTCAATGTATCTTAAAATCATACTAATTTTTCAACTATTCTCTTTAAAGGAAATGAGAACCATCATTTTGGATTTGACCCAACGCGAGGCTCAAATACTCCAAACTTGATTGTGAAGAATCCTTTTAACTTTGAATCTGGAGCTGAACGGCAGCGGCAGTACCATCTTGTGGTGCATATAGTCGATGATAATCTGAAATATGGCAAATCCACCAAGCCCCGGACAGGCACTGCTGTTATAGACATCTATGTGATAAGAGCCACTACACCATCTCCTCCAACCAGTTCCGAAGTAAAGAGTTACAGAATTTGATTCGGTTCTCTGTGTGGGAAATACTCTACTGTGCATCTGAGCTTCATCTAGAAAGGCTAAAAGGATGAACCTCTGTCCACATGCCTTTCCCTCGGGTCACTGACCCATCCAGCCCCTGGACAGCATGTTCCAGTGTGCACCTATGAATATAAGCTATGAGTGGCAGTGAATTTGTGCTAAGTGCATAAAGCACATAGAGGATCCTAAAGAAGATAGTTATATCTGAATTTTCTGAAAGTCCTGCCCACAAGGAGGGCCCACTACTCAATGAGTTCTATCAATTACAAATATCTACAAGTTGGCACCTTCACGGGGTACTGTCTAGCAGCCATGCTATGCATATTAGCGATGACCTGTGATGTGCCAGATTCTGTACTGTGTGCTTTATATCCACCATTGCATCCAGCCTTCAGTCCAGCCCTGCGAAGTTTAGCAGACCCATTAGTATTTTATTTTTTAAAAAATCAATATGCAAAGCCTCATCAGCATTCGAGAACGGCTTCTGAATCATCCAAGATAAAGTGTGTTCAGTAGGCTGTATGCTGTATTTTATTGTTTTCTTTTTTTTGGTGTGTGGGGGGCATGGAGACAGGGCCTTGCTATGTCATTCAGGCTGGCCTTGAACTCACAGTGTAGTCCAGGCTGACCTGGAACTTGTGGTAATTCTCCTGCTTCAGCTTCCAAGTGCTGGGATTATGCCCAGTTCTTCTATCTTTTCAAATAGAAGCATTTTTAAAAATTAGTGTTAAATCTTTCTGCCAGAATATTTGATTTTTAAGAGCACACTTTTCTCTCAAGCTGTACAGAAGGGTTAATTAAGTTTAGAGTAAATAAGAGGGCTATGGAAGCTAAAGTGACCTCAGGTACCATTTGTTCCAACCTTCATTTTATGAATGAGAAAACTGAAGGCAAAGAAGAGAAATGGTTGGTCTGGGTCACAGAGTGGCACTGCATGAACTCAAGTCTTTACATTCTTGACCTGGTGGCTTTTTCATGTTATGGTTTTTTTCATATCACCTGCAGTGTTTAAAGAATACACAAGGTTGAGTCAATACTCCACTGTCTGTATAGGACTTTGGCACTGTACTGATGTCACTGTATATAAACAGATGCTCTATGAGAACGTGAGAATGCTAATGCTCTCTTTGCTTTGATATAATTTTCCCAGCAAAGAAAAGGCCTGACCATTGTGTATACAGCTGTTAACACGTTCAAGTCCAGCGACTGGTACGTCCCTTTCATCCTCACCCTGATGGCTATTTTCTCCGTCGGATTAGTTTCATGGCTATGTCTCCTGCTTTGGAGGTACAGAAACATTATGGAATGCTGTTGGACAATGGCCGAGAAGGTCTCTAAGCCCGTGCCCAGGTATCTGATTTTCTTTCTAAGCTTTTGCTGTAAAAACCTAAAATCAGTGGAGATTTGGGATTTCAACCCTGTGGGCTTCTAAGTTGGCTTTCAAGAAACAGAGATAAATATTGCAGTACAAAACTCAGTAATGTCTTTCACCAATGATCCGAAACCTACTGCATTCTAACAACATTTAGGGAGCTTTCTTTAAACACAAGTAACAGTATATTGTTGAATTATACTGTAAAACATGTGGCAGACTTTCTTCAGGAAGAAGTTTTAAATTTAAAAGAAATTTAAAATTAGCCCATGTTTACAGTGCATGATCATTGCCTTCCTTGTGGGAGTGTGTACGTGTACGTGACACACCTTAATTCTTTTTTGTTTGTTTGTTTATCCTGGTTTTATTTATGATTGCCAGAACCTGAAGCAGCCAAGATGGCCTTCAGCAGGGGAATGGATAAAGGGTGGTACATCTATTTTTTAAAAATTTATTTTAAAAATAAAAGAAGGAAAACATATTAACAAATAGACATTTGACACACCTTAATTCTTTCTTTATCTCCTTCCCTTCCCTTCCCACCTCCACTGTCCGTGTCTTGCTCCCCTCCCCTTTGGCAAAAGATCTGTCTCCTTGTCAAACAAGTAAGTCTGCGGGCAAACAAGCAACCAACTCCTCATGTTATTTTGATGCAAGACATTTCATGGACAGGTGTTTGACAGCCGCTGGGAAGTAGCCTGGGGATTGGTGAGAAGTCCAGGTATCCTGGCTGCACACGGAAGCAGGGAAGAGAGGCCAAAGCAATGAACCGGGTATCAGCAGCTTTTCACGCCACCCAGAATAGCTCTCTAGGGCACAGAGTACCCGGACTTCAAAAGAGCCCTGGGAATTAAATTTTTATTCATTAGGCAGAATTTATTTATGGTGCAAAAAAGTGGGTGGTGATGATTAAAGAAGACCGTTTTATTATTTCCCTGTATATATAGCATTTCTTTTTTTCTGGGCTAAGAAAGATGTTATAATAGTCACATGCTGAGCATAGAATGAAATTATTTTTGAAACAAGTTTTAGCAAAATGAAGCTGATATTTTGTCAAATTTTCTTTTTATACAGAGAAATGAAATATATTGCAGGTAAGATACAGATTACTAATTACAGCATGATTATGCTTGAATTGCATGATTTTTGAAGAAATGCCACTCAACAGACACCTGGCTTTTATTTATTTATTTTTAAATAGGAGATAGAACTCAAAAGGAAAAAGCTGTCACAGGAAGCAGAAGTAAAAAATTAGAAGTCTTAACAGTAAGTGCATTTTGTGGTCTCTCTATAGTAAGTTATTCCTGTAATTACTGAGCGATGAAAATTTCTTCTGTATCAGACGGTAAATCTACTTAAACATCATAAATAGGAAATAAAGTTATTGTAACTTCTCTGTTTCTGCTGAATTTGTGTGTATTACAAAGTTGGAATTCAGTCTTAGGATTTGGCTAGGTCAAAATTTGCCTCAAATATTGTATGTACGTGCAGAAAAAAACAACTCTAGACAACTGGAAATCCAGCATTTTCACCACTACTTAAAAGTAAAAACTATACTTGAAAATAAATTATGTATGTCATAGAATTGAATAAGTTGTTCAGCTTTAGGGTTTTTACCGTTGCGTATGTAAACTGTCTTCAAATTGGAATGAAATTGCTGGGGTAGGAAATGAAAGGCTGGGGTAGGAAAAAATAAATGCATAGAACAGGAAAGGGCATTCTAGTCTTCACCTATCAGGTTTTCTCTGCACGTGCTTCCTGCCTGCCAAGAACACCTCTGCCTACCGGGTCCGCACTGATGCCAGTAGGGTCTGGAGGTGGCTCTCTTTCAGTGCTTGCTTCCCCTGCCTCTGCCTTAGGGAGAGGACGTCACCTTACCTAGTGTTACTTTGCTAGGGCTCCCATAACAAAATTCCAGACCAGGTGTCTCAAAGAACAGGAATTGATTCTGTGCAGTCCTGGTGGATGCAAGCTCAGTGGGTGTTGGCAGTTTGGTCTCTTCTGAGGCCTCTCCCCTTGGCTTGCTGACGGCCACTGTCTTGCTGTGGCCTCACATGGTCTGCGAGAGGGGTTGGCCTTGTCTGGGTCTCAATCGCCTCTTCTTGGGAGAACACTGGTCTCCTGGAGTTAAGGCCCACCCACGTGACCTGACTTTATTAACTCTTTAAAGGCTGCCTCCAAAGGTGTGACATTCTGAGGTCCTGGCGCTTAGAACTTCAACGTAGGAAATGAGGGGAAAGAGCAGGAGTCTACCAGTGATGGGGAACCTTCTAGAGACTGACAGCCAAACCGCAACCCAAAGCCCACTTATTTACCACCAAGTGCCAAAGCTGCAATTAAACCTGAATATGGAGGTTTCTGTTTAGAAAAAAACAAAAAACAAAAAACAAAAAACAACTCATACATTAACATCTTCTGTCTTAAAAGAGAAACAAAGAATATGCTGTGTACAAAGGCTCATCACCACTGGTGGAAGACCCCTCAGATAGGCTAGGAGACTTCGCATCAAAATAAGGCCCTGTGACAGAGGTCCCGGAGGCCAACTGGTGTGGGGAGTGGGGTTGGCAGGACATAGGAGTAGCAGGAAGTTTTGGTCCTGAGGCTGCTGACCCTCTATAGATGAGACAGATGAAGTAATTAAAAGAAGTCGACTGCCCAAATATAAAACACTTGCCAAAAGTAATTTTACTTAGCTGACTGACTTGTTGCTTACAGCGTGTGCTTTTTTGTTTTGAAAGGAAACCATTGTGTATGAGACCGTGTTTGATGGAGAAGCCATTGACCCAGGTATGGTATTTAATTACTGTCTTATTTACTTTTCTCTCATTGCTGAGACAAAACACTCGACTCCCAGAGTTAAAGGGGAACAGGTTTATTTAGCTCAGAGTTTGTAGAGGTTTCAGTCTATCATCAGCTGGCTCCAAGGCAGAGTGGCATGGCAGAGGGCACCACAGAGGGGAAACAGTTTGTCGGGGGCAGAAGATAGTGAAGCAACGAGGAATAACCACAGCTTTTTCTGTCCCTTTTATCTTATCCAGGCTACTTAGAGCAGGCAGCACTCACACCCTTAATCCTAGTGCCCTTGAGCCTAGCACTGCACCATGAATCAGTACTAGTATCACACGTTGTAGATCCAGCCACTCTGAAAAAAGCCCCACCTCTGACTGCATGAGGCTTTGGGGGACATCTAAACACAAGCCATAACAATTATCTTTTGAGTTAAGCCCATCCTGGCTATTTGGATGCTAGAACTGTATAAATAAATCGCTTGTTCATTATGCTTTAAAAATGAGACTCTGTCCTAAGGCAAGCCATTTTAGGGCTGGGCAGGTAAAATTAATGACTACAAGGGACCGGATGAAACTGCATTGAATCACCCAGGGCAACTGATGTTGGGGCCGAGCACCATCACTCAGCTCCATCGAATTCCTTCCCTATGGGAATGAGCCTTCCTGAATCCGGAGCTTCAGGAGGAGCTAGACATTCATGCTGTTACATGAAACCTGCCTCCATTTACATAGAGGTAAAATGAGGTCAATTAAACTCCATTTTACAGCCCAAATTAACTGCTCCCATTAAATATTAGTGTGCACCCAACTACCATGAAACGTACGACCTTAAAATAACTACCATTTCACTATAGCTTACTCTGTTGCACATCAGGAATTTGAACAGCTGTCACCTGGGCAATTCTTTGCTTCATGTACTGTCAAGAGTGGGTCCCTTCAGCAGTATCAGCTTGCTGCTGGTGTGAACTTTGGGGCTTAAAGTGGTCCCACCCACAGCCCTGATGTCTCAATTGGGGCAGTTGTTGGGTGAGCTCAGCTGGGTCCTGCTTCTGTGTAACCACACGGGGGCTGAGCACATTCCCCAAGGAGAAGGTGGGACCTCAACTCACACTATCCACAGACTAAGTTGTGAGTTCCCCGACTATGTCACAGAAAAGCACTTCAGGATGTATCAGTGGGAGGAAAGTATGTTTATTAAGCACAATTAAGGAAGAACAGGCAGAAAAGGGGAGTGTGGGCTCTTGAGTGATCAGACACGTTGAGTTCAGGTTGGGGTCTCCTGTGGTCTTGGGGGAGGCCTTCAAGACAGGTGATCTAGGGAATGTGTTCCTCCCGTGGGTCAGGTTACCCTTTTTCGTGAGCTGCGTAAATTATTTGCATGCATTTGAAGTTGAGAAGTAGGCTTTCCACTTAGTGCTATCTGCTTCAAGGTCGATTTGTGAATCTATAGTATCAGAAGAAAAGCACTGGTGAAAATTCTAGGCACAATTTGCAGTCTTCTTGTAACTTTAAGGCTCTTAAAATTTTTTTGGAGCAAGTTTTCTGGAAGGGAAGAAGGTACTGTAACCTGAAGTACCTTTGTGTCCTGAAGCTGCAGTATTTCTTAAAGTATAATTTTAAAATTATAATCTCTGTCTCTCCTTTCTCCTTATTACTATTTCTTCTCTTCTGCTTTATTGGTTTCCTTGTGGTCCACTGGCCTCCTAGCAGGTTAGCTGGGCCTTGCATATGGCCGCCGGGATCTCCTAGGGAGAGTTCTGGAGACAGGAGGGAGAGGTTGCAGGATTTTGAGACCTGGAAGCTGAACAGTTGGCCTTACTTGTGCCACATCCTGTTGTAAGGGGCATAAAACCCACCTTTCAAGACTCAAACTCAAAGAATTTGTGGCCATCTCTAATCATCCTCAAATCTACACATGAGTCATGGATTTGCAAGTGTTGTTCTAAAACGTATCTGTTATAAGTTCAGAAATTGCAGAACAGATCGTATCTGCACTTTGTAAAGCATTTCACAAGTTTTTCTTTTTCAGTGCATTTCTTCCTTAATGGAAGAGGGAAAAATAGAAAATTTCCAGAAATTTTGGAAAAGCCTCAGACATAAAATTAGAAGATGAGGGTTTGAGTTTTGACACAGTCACTGTCTCTTGCTGTGAACATGGAAGAAGAATTTAACCTCTTTCCACCTGAAAAGCTGAGCGTACGGCTGTGGGTTTTCTCTGTTTCACAGGGGGTGCTTATGAACTTTCAAGATGACTGTGATAAATGTAAAAATCACTGTATAAAATGTCACTCCACATGGGGTGTGCATCACAAAATACTCACCGGCACCATAACTGCACAGGACACTTTTCTTTAAGTTAATTCTGGACACCTCTGGATATCGGCATGAGATTATTGATGCTTTGTCACCGACTTCCAGGGCTCCCTTAAGAATGTCGCCCCTGTAAAAATATTTTGTTAAATTAAAAATGTACTACTTATATTGTAACTGGATCTATGTTAAACAGTCTCCTGTGAATTTCATTTTCCAGGAATTCAATCAAAGTGTAAAAGAACATTTATGGGGTGCTCCCCTATGCCTTAGGATTCCTATGTTCCTACAATGGGAGCACCATGATTGTCCTCATGCTGTGGCCCCGGAAGCAGAGGCTCACATGGTGGGGTCACACGGCTTTCTTTGCTCCCAAAGAAAGAGAAGAAAAGACAGGTGGCGCTCTGGAAGCCAGACCAAATCCTAGCAGTGGGAGACAGGAAGCTGGGGAGGAAGCAGTTGGGTTCTCCGGTTTGGCAGCTGTGTGCCCCCACGCAGGCAGCGTCTGGTGCCAGGCTCCGCAGTGGAGGAGGCAGAGCAGCCTGCAGCAGAGTGCTGCGCCCATTTCTTGATCCTTTTTGTACCTCTGCTGTTATGATTGGAAGTAATTAAAGTTACCGCTTGCCATTTCTTGCTTCCCTCTAAAATTAGAAAAAGTATGTTCCATAATTCTTATTTAGTGCTTACCATGTACCGAGCTTGTTACAAGCTCTTTATAGTTATCAACCTACTTGATTTTTATTGTATTGATTATATAAATGACATCACATTATGCTTCCTAGCTTTATTTTTAGATGTGTGCTTCTGCGGCAGTAAGTGTGCCCCCACTCCTGTGCAGCCGTGGCCACTGCTCCGCCTCCAGAGCTTTTCCTGGGGCCCGCTGGAACTCTGCTCGGAGACAGAGCAGAGTTCCTGCTTCCTCTTGCACTCAGCCTCTGGCGGCCACCATTCCGCTTCTGTCTCTAGGAATTTGTTTTGTTTTGTTTTGTTTTGTTTTGTTTTGTTTTCCTGTACCGAAAATCGAACTTGCGCTTGCCAGGCAGGCGCAACCTTGCGCTTGCCAGGCAGGCGCTGTGCCACTGAGCTAAAAACCCAGCCGGGATTTGACTTTTCTAGGCATTTCCTACAGGCCAAATCATCCCATAGTTGTCCTTTTGTGACTGGGTTTAGTTCACTTAGCGCAATGTCTATAAGGTTCACACAGGCTTCAACAAAGCCAGAATTTCCTTCTGTTTGAAGCCAAATAATATCACTTTTTACGTGTGTGTCACATTTCATTTACATATTCAGCCATGTATGGACTTTGTGTCATTCTCCTCTTTTTATTGAGACTACTGCTACTCTACACCCTATTTAATTTTAGCATTTTTTTCTTTGCACATTGAAAGAGTCTACAGATAAATGTGTACTTGCAGAATTATTACAAGGTATTTTTAGGTTATTTCGAATATCAAACCACAGCAAGTATTTATGGAGTTCTTAGTATGGTCAAAATGCTTTCACATGAAATTTTCCTTCTCACAGCTGTTTATGAGACAGTCTGTGTTATTACGCTCATTTTATGCAAAAACAGAGAGACCACGTATTTCCCCCAGAATCACAATGGAGTAAGAGGAAAAGCAGGATTAGAATCCAGGCAGTCTGCTATAGAAACCTTCATGCTTGTCACTGTTATTCTTGACTTCTCTTGCCAATGAATAGCCTGGTAGAACCCAGAGCATCGTCAATGACCTGGCTGTGAGTTCTTCCATTAAACCAACCAATCAACCAACCAACCAACCAACCAACCAACCCACAACACAGCTGTACATGATCTGATAAAGGGGATAGCTCCTGTAGATACCCTCTGCTGATTCACTGCTTGGCCCGGCCTTGTGGCCTTTCGTTTCCTCAGTGCCAAGGATAAGTTATTGGGCTTTTGGCTTATTTTGAGCCTGGACGTTGGATGTGTGATTCAGCAATTAGTTTTCAAGTTCCAGCATGAAATATTAAATGGTGATCTGGATTCCTTTGGTGGTTTGGATTTTCCTGGTGGAGAAAGCATCTCCCACTCCAGTGTGGTATCCTGACTGAAGTCACTATTCAGTGAACGGACTTCTGTGGGCTCTTCAGCACAGCAGTGTCACGTGACATGTAAAGAAGAGTAATGTTTCAGACGAAATAGGTGTAGCTGCGTGGGTTGGGTTTTACCACCATGCATCAGATGTTCTGGGCCACCCAGAAAGTGGTGCATAAGGTGCTGTTTGGTCACAGAGGTCAATCAAAGTGACATAGGTCCTGGCCCCGGACCCCGGGTCCTTAGCATTTAGAGCTCTGTAACCAGATGGGATGGATTCAAGTCCAGGTCTGCCACTGGCAGGTGGTGTGGCATTGCAAGTTACTTAACGTGTCACTGCCTCAGTTTCCTCCTTTCTGAATGTGGCCAGTGATACACAAGCACAGCACAAGTGACCTTGCCATGTAGAAAATACTCTAAGAGTCACCTGTGATTATTGCTGTCACTCTTTCCATGAATCACATCTCAGTCACCTAATAAACCATCAGTGGTTGACTTTCTCTTACACCAGGCTGCCCTTCCCTGTTTCTCTTCTCTTGTATCCTAGTTTCATTTTTGTATTCTGTGGAAGTTTATAAAACCTCACACAACGAGAGAACAGTCTTCTTGAGGGTGTGCATGGGGGGAGGACAGTTCAACATATTCTTTTAAACTTTTACTTTAAAAATAATTACCGATTCACAAGAAAATTACCAAAAGTAGTGCAGAGCTACTGTGTATTTATCAGCAAGGTTCTCCTAAAGGTAATACGATTCATACCTGTGGTACATTGCCCAAACCAAGACAGTGACATGGGTAGGACGGAATTTATTAGACCATAGATTTCACTTTTAAAAAAACCTCTGAGATAAGTGTGGTGGCACATACCTATAATCCCAGCACTCTGGGAGGCTGAGACAGGAAGATTGCACGTTTCAGCCCAACCCAGGCAACTCAGTAAAAAATAAAAAAAGAGCTGGGGATTATCTCAGTACAAAGGCCCTGGTTTCAATCTCCAGTACCACAAAAAGTATCTCTATTGTTCTATGACATTTAACCCACTGTATAACTGCTATCACAGTCATGATACAGAACTGTCCCTTCCCGCAAACACACTCTGTGGAGGGCGATTTTTAGTGCAAGGGAAATTACATGCTTCTTCCTTCTGCTTCTAGTTTTTCCCTAGGAGGGAGAGCACCACTTGAAAAGATAAGCTTGGCACTTGCCAGCCGTATAGCAAATGCTCAATAAACAGTTTGTGGGATGAATCAATGCTTTGCAAGCTCATTGTAATTCACTCGTCTGTCTTCCCTTTCAGTGTCCGGGAATGTGTATGAATACAACAGCAGAACGGGAGCCAGAAAGTGGAAGAAGCCCCCCAGGCACCAGGAGGGGCCCTTGGCCAGCACAGACTCCCTCCCGGAAGCTCTTCCTCCTGAAGAACTGACATCCCTTGCAATTCAGGTGTGAGGAGAGCATGTCCCGGTGTTTCTGATCCTGTCTGTGACTCTTGTGGGTGGTTTTATCGCATGATGTAAAATCAAAGCTTAGATGTGCAGGTCAGCTGCTTTGTGCAATCGCCGGGTTCAGAGTTCCGGCAGAGGGCACCCGGTGTGGCGCACTGTGAGTCTCTGGATGTGTTTTGCTGAAAACTAGAGGCTGCCTCTCACGCTCGTTGTCTCGCTTTGCCCAGCGCACTGTTCGCCGCTTTAGGTCAGAGACTTGCCCCCGGCTCATTGCTGCCAGCCCAGCGTGTACTCGGGGCAGAGTGGGGAATCCACGCTTATCTGGTGAATAAATGCATTTGAACACACAACTCTTCATCCGCCTTTAATTCGGGTTGCTTATTCTACCGTGACCCACAGAACGGAAGTGGGGTTATCTTTAGAAAATAAGTTTTTGAATAATACAGGATTTTTCAGCAATTTTCCAAAGTGTCATTGATCTTGCTTTTAAAAGTCTTCTTACGGCTCTGTGGAGGATGACTACCTGAAACTTTACTTACTAGTGACTCGCCAAGGGAAGGTCAGAAGCAAGGGTTCGGAGACGTGCTTGCGTAGGTAAACACATCTGAGATGCGCGCGGTCCTTTCGCAGCCTCGTTCCTGGGCTCTGGTGGATCCCCGGCCGCGGCAGCTGGAGGCCCCAGCGCTGTTGGTGGGAGTCCAACATGGAGTAGCATGTGGGATAACTTTTTTTAAAACAAATCTTATCTAGAGTAAAATACACAATGAGCGCTGAACTAATCTTCACATCAGAAGGTACTACGGACCTGAATGACAAGAAATGCTCTGATGTTCATCTCCCTTTGTGCAAATACTCTGAAACAATTTCTTCTCAGCCTGGGGACACCTGATCTTCCAGCAAACGCAAGTACCTGACAGTAAACAGGGTCGTTTATAACTGGTGTCTGCAGGAGTGTGTCAGACCTCAGGAGGCATGACGTAGAAGTCACAGAGGATTTGAATTTGGGCTTCAGACAAGTCACTCATTCTCTGAAGTTCAGTCTTTCTTCTAGAAAATGCAAATAATCATCCTTGCTCTCTTTCTTAGCTTCTACTTATTTATTTTTTTTTGTGAAAACCAGTACAAAGTAACTGAGATTCTATGCTTGGCCGTGCTTTCTAGCCAGGAAACTGTGTTAAAATGTAAAATAGGATTAGTTTGGTTAGGTCAAAACTGGTGGCTGTGAAAGCAGGGGCTTGGGACACGGAAATTGGCAGGGTCGCTGCAAGGGTCTAGGCCAATCTAAGCTGCAACTGCTGGCGAGGAACTTCCTAATGTGGGTGGAAAGGCGTCCTGCCTTTGTCCAGGCGAGAGACCAAAGACTGGGACGTGCTTGCTGTCTTCTCTTCAGGAGTGCTCTCTCTGGATCAACTTCGATTTGGTGGATATAGGTGTATGAGTCTTCATCTGCCAACACCTGAGTGTTCAAGAGAGAAAGCACTTAAAAACTTGCCTTTCAAAGTCCGCCTCGGGTCAATTTGTATTTGATTTGCTTGGACCAAAACCAACCAACCAACCAACCAACCAACCAACCAACCAACCAACCAACCAACCAGCAGAGCAAACAAACAAGCAAATATCCACCCTGATAAGTTGGTGTTTGTTTTCAGCACCAATACAAGTAGGTTTCCACTTGTTTGGTTGCTTTAGATCTCTGCACTGAACATGGCAAGTGGACATTTGAGCTGAAGACGCCCTGGGGTGGCTCGGGAGGGAATGAGGAGGGCTGTTCTGGGCAGGGGCCTCCCCTGAACCCCGCACGCTTATCTGTGCTGTGCTGAGAAGCTCCAATTCATTAGTAATGAGTAAGTTAGTTTCCAGAGGCCCCCACGGCAGATCACCACAGATCCGGGCTGGAGTGCTGAGATGCGGGGCAGGCAGGCTCACTCCCTCTGGAGGGAGGAGGGGCGGTCTGAGGCTCGCCTTCCAGCCTCTGGCTGCTGTATGCCTCTAGTCTCTCTCCCACCCTCACAGCACTCGCTTCTTAACGTGCCTGCCACATGACCCTCTGCCTCGCTGTTTTTCTGTTTTTGAATTAAATGTTAATTTTTATTGGTACATGTTTGAAGTATGTAAAGATTGCATTCCTGTGGGGAGCTGACGTTTGCACAGAACACGTCTGAGCTCTTTTTCATCCTTTTTCTCTCCTCTTTCTCTCTTCCTCCACCTTTTGGTCTCTATTCCCTTTGGCAAAAGATTTACCTCTTGTTTCCTTCTATCTATCTATCATCTATCTATATTTTGCTCATTAATTTCTTTATACTTTGGATTTCCCATATTAGAGAAACCATATGATATTTAAACTTGTGAGTCTTATTTATTTCACTTAACATTATGGTCTCAAGTATATCCCTTGTCCTCTGTATGATTCAAGTTTATCTTGATGGCAGAGTAGTATTCCATTATCTATTAATACATTTTAAGCTGGGCATGGTGGTGCATGCCTATAATCCCAGCACGTGGGAGGCTGAGGCAGGAGGATTGCTGTGAGTTACATACTTCAAGGCCAGCCTGGACTACATAGCTAATCCCTGTCTCACACAAAAAACAACCCCCACCACATTTGTTTTATCCATTTACCTTTTGATAGACCTAAGGCTACTTCCAAGATTCAGCTATCATGGGTTGTGCTGCTATGAATATGGGTATGCATATTCCACTAAAATATGACTTCTTTAACTTCTGGGGGAAGATACATAGAAAGGAAATAGCTGGGTCAAATGGAACGTCTACTTTTAGTTCTTTGAGGACTCTCCACACTGATTTCCACAGTGGTTGCACTAGTTTACACTCCCACCATTGGTGTAGAAGGTCTGCTTTTCCCTCGGCAGCCTCACCAGCATCTGTTATCATTTGATTTCTTGGTGATGCCATTCTTTCTGGAGTGAGATGAAATCTCAGTGATGTTTTAATTTGCATTTCTCTAATGGCCAGAGATGTTGAACATACTTCTTCAGAGAAGCCTTTATTCATTTCACTTGCCCATTTTTTTTGATTGAGTCTTTTATTTTGGGGGCCGGCCCTAACTTTTTTTAGTTCATTCTATAGTCTAGATATTAGTCCTTTGAGGAAGAGCTAGCAAAAATTTATTCCATTCTGTAGATTGTCTCTTCACTACTTTGGTTGTTTCTTTTGCTGTACAGAAGCTTTTTAATTTGCTATGATTCCATCTATTGACTCCTGATGTTATTTCTTGTGAAATTCTGTTCAGAAAGTCCTTGCCTATGTCTATATCTTCAAGGATTTTACTTATTTTATCTTCTAGCAGTTAAGTGTTTCTGCTTTAATATTTAGATCTTTGGTCCGTTTTGATTTTAGTTTAGTACCTGGTGAGAGATACAGGTCTAGATTCAATCTTCTGCATGAGTGTTTTCCCAGCGTCATTTATTAAAGAGGCTATCTTCCCTCCAGTGTATGTTTTTGGCCATTTATCAAAGATCTGACAGCTGAAAGTACCTGGCATTGTTTCTACATCCTCTATTCTGTAATTGTCGATTCACAAGTTTGTTTTTGTGCCAGTGCCATGGTATTTTTATCATTGTAGCCTTGTGATATATCTTGAAGCAGGGGATTGTGATGCTTCCTGCTCTGGTGTTCTTGCCCAGGATTGCTTTTGCTATTCTTCTTGATTGCTATTCTTCTCATTTTTGTTGTTGTTGGATTAATTTTATGTGGTCTATTTTGCTGCATTCTTACAAGGACACTTGTCTTTGGATTTCCAGTCCACCTGATTAACCCTCACAAGACCGTTAAAGACATCTGCAATCCATTTTCCCCCAAATAATCATGTTTACAGGTTCAGTAGTTAGGACAGGCCATATCTATTTGAGAATCACCTTTTAATCCACTATAGTGATTTAAGAAGACTTTTCTATGTGAATTAAATCAATGCAATCTTTGTAATAGACAATGTGACAATTTTCATTTCATTGAATGCCTGCTTTGTGCCAGGAATTTTTCAAGGATTTGAGTAATAAAAATGGAAATGTCTTTGACTTGGCAATTTGAAGACTTGGAATTGCCAGGTAGATATGCTTATCACAGGTCTGAAGGATTTATTTATATGTAGGTTGCCCATGGTAACACTGTAAGAGAAAAACCAACTTGATAAAATCAAATTGTGAGAGATGGCTGGGAAATCAAATACTGTCCATATTATGGAACGTATGGTATGGCAAAAGAATTGGGCATGTATTGATATGAAAGCTCTATTCATATAAGTCATATGTGTGTGCTGGCATGTGCATAAACTTTAGAGGAAAGTAAGAAATCCAGGAAGCTGTTGGCAGGGATTATCTTTTTAGAGAAATTCTGGGGGAAGGAAATGCAGGGGCGAAAGAGACTTTTCCTGTTCCTTTTATAGTTTCACAAATATTGAATTTCCTAAACTTTTACACATATTTAATTTTTTAGTAAGATAAGTAGAGTTTTTTTTGATGGTGCTAAATTAGGACATTATTTTCTTTTAAAAATATTTCATGCCTGGAGTTCTGAAATTTTACGAGGCCTGAAGGTCTTCTCTCAAAGCAAGCTGAACCCAGGTAAAAGTCTCTCTACTATGTGGCATATTTTCTTCCCCAATTTCTGTAACTGTCATCGCTTTTCCATGTGGCTAAATCCAGGTAAAACTGATTCTTAGATCTCTAGGATTTAGTAGCTAAATCTCTCTTTTCTGTTTTAGTTTTTAACCTATAAATTTTTGGCATTCTATTTCAGAGATTTCTTTTATTCAATCTTCTGAGTCACTAGTGAGTGACAGTCTCACCAGTGACTGTCTTCAGTTTTAGCTCATTTGTTGATTTTTAAAAACTTTTAAAATCAGATTTATAGGGCTGACTGTAGTGGCACATGTTTGTAACCTCAGCACTCTGGCAGGCCGAGGCAGGAGAATCCCAAATTGGAATCTAGGTAGGGAAATGTAGTGACTTAGCCTTGTTTCAAAAATAAGTAAATGAATGGATGAATGAATGAATGAATAAATAAATAAATAGCTGGATGAGGTTGTAGCTAGTGTGAAGGCCCTGGATTCAATTTCCAGTGCTGCAGGAAAAAAGGAACCCTATTCTTTGGAGGGTGTGCATGTGCATACACAGGCACGGAGGTACTGTGTGCACGTGTGTGTTACCTATGAATCTAAATTCTCTCATGTCTGTGTTTGCTGAAGTTGTGTTCCGCCTCTTCCAAAGTTCCATTTCAGTAGAGGTTTATTCTGAAGATGTTCTGTCTTCTCCCTTGGACTTCCTGGCTGCCTTTTCTGACTCCCTGGGCTTCGTGTCATTTTGTCCACCTGTGCGGGGGTCGAGGTGGAGCT